ATGTGTCTTTAAAGAGAAAAACCAGAAAATATCAGCACATTATAAATAATATATTTTATAATAAAAGTACAACCATCGTATATATTTATATTCTTTCTTAAGCGTTTAAAAATTTACTTGTTCCATACCAGTTTAACAGTTAAAACAATAAACATAAATAAACTTGAATTCTATGCATTATAAAACGTCTATTCAAATTAGTTTTTTTTCAACCAACGCTGCACTGAATAAAAAATTTATTGAGACGTAAACATTGAAGGAGTGCCGTCTTCAACAGATCTTTTTTTGTATTTGTTGAGCCTTATATATACGCGATAATTTCCAAATGATCTGCATTAAGTTTCAAGTGCTTCAATTGCTTATTAATTGATCGATCGGGGATCATAGATATAAACAGCTACTTTAGTTGAGCTAAATGTCAACGCATTGCATGACACGTCTAAGGGCGGTGCAGGTTGTAGAAAAATCCAACACCTGTCGCTATAGCTATGTACTTAGACCTACATACATACATATAGTATGCACATATGCACGTGGATAATTCTAGAGGCTAGCTCTCTACCTTTGAGTTAGTTTTCAGGTGTGTGATTGTGTGGGCATAAATTGAAGGGCTTCGTTGCGAAAAACACGTCGAACAAAACTGCAACCAGAATGAGATAGCTCAGCCCAGTACATATTAACAACTCTGGTGACAAGTATAGGCCTGGAGACAGCCCCTAAAATAACCTGAAGTCTCAATAAAGTACTGGTTAATTACTACCCTTCGGTGGCTTAATAATCATCTTTTGTGTTTTCGCTTTTGTTATTAATTTTAACGAAAATGTCGATTGCCTAGTAAATGCACTGAAGTTTAATGGATTTGACATTATTTTATCCAGTGTTATACGCATTAAAATTATATTTTATTTAAAAAAAAACATTAATATGGATCATTAAACAATAGTTGGAAACATAGTTGGAATAAACAAATGGAAAAATGTTTTTGTTGTGCTATACACAGAAAAACAAAAAAAGATTTAATTTCGGCAAAAAATTATGCTTAAAATTCTTTTTTATCAAATATAAAAATTGTAAGCATCTACTAAATCGGTTAACTGTGCTATAAGTTCAGCTTATAGCCCTCTAGGTATATTTTATTTGCTACCATCTTGGCCTCAACTGTGCTTACATACGAATTTTTATCTACGCGTGTGTGCATAAGTTAGTATGTAAAAAAAAGTTCTAGGGCAGGTTATAGTTTGTAATCTTTTTTTTGCAAAAACCTCCAAAGTGAACATTAGATAATGAGCGGTGGAGAGGCCGAGAGAGAGGGCGATATGGAGAGCGAAAGAGAGGCAAAGAGCTCGACTGATAAATCTAATGTTTGTCATGTGAAGCGAACCGCTTTTCATTTCAGGGCCTTGCAATTTTTATGCACTTATGACATGAAATTGCTTTGCACACACTCATAAAAGCTTTTCGACTCCCTCTCTCTCTCTCTTTATTTTGGGGTGTGGGTGGGGGGTTATGGCAGAGAGGTTGGAAAAATGGGTGGGGGGTGAGTGCATGCGCACCATTCAAGAAATGCATTGCACTTGTCGCCCAGCACGCGCACTAATACACACGTTTTCTGCCCACAGACTTACATAAACTTTTCCATAGAAAAAAAAATATAAACCTTCCAATGACGTCAATCGCTCTGTAAGTTGTGGCTTTTGTTAACTGGTTGCTGTTGTTGTTTTTGTTGTTGCCTTTCCATGCCAAAAACAGAAGTTTTTCGGCTTTTCGAGTGGGTCGCAGCTAATGCTCATTGGCATTTTTTGGGAATCGTGTTTGCGGATCATCGACTATGAAATCAGCGCTACTTATTTACATACATACATATGTATGTACGTATGTATGTTCGCACTTCATTGATCTTTCACAACTCACTTTTTCTTAATCGGAGGAAACTGTTAAGTGTCTAACTTTACTTTTTATAATCTTTAAACTTTGTTTATTGCCATTTTTACAAAACGAATTTTCCTTTTATCGGATCATTTTTAGGTCTAAGTAAGTTTAAGGTAGTACAAAAAGACGAAATGCCACAACTATGTACATACGTATTTTAAAAATGTAGGCATATTACAAAAGAATTGGTATAAACAAGGGCGATAAAATAATTTAACACTTATTAAACTTAAAGACAGAAGACCTAAAGGGAATTGTGATTATTATTTAAAAAAAGTTTTAACTGTAAAAAAAATGAATATGAAAATATTATCAAACATTTATTATTTTAAAATTCAATATCGCGTCTTTAAAACCCTTATTAAATTGATTTTAAAATTGGAACATAACTTCTTCTACAACATCACAGGACTTAAATAACTAAATAATAATAGAAGAAATATAGGGGTATTATTTGATGAAAAAATATTAATTTTTATCTTTCTAAAACGAATTCCTTTATAATTTCTTAATTTTCCAATGTTTCCTTACCTACAATATACAAAAAATAACTTTCAAAATAAAACATTAAAAAAAATACATGTTTCATATTTCTTTTATTTTCATAACAATATTTAAAAACAAATTTATTTCTATGAATTATATTTTGGCGAGGTCTTTTTTATTAATTATTAAATGTATCTCATTTAGATTTTCCCCTTTTGATTAAGGACTGCTGGCGCCATCTGTGGGACATAGTTGCTGTTTTCCGACAAGCAGAAAAGAAGGGCAAAAAAGCTGACCTTAATATGCATTAATTGTTGCAGCAGAGCTATTCTAATGCGCTCGCTCTCATTTTCCACATTTTCTCTTCTCTTGGCTTCTCTCTTTCCCGTCTGCCCCATTCTTTTTATTTTCCATTTACGTGCTTTAGGCTTTTTTTGGAGCAGGGCGCTGCTTCCATTTCCATTTCGATCCCAAAAATTGTTGTTGGTTGTGTTTTTGTTGGTGTGGGGGATCTTTTGTTTTGTTTGTTTGTCCGTCTCCAATTATGGAAACGTGTGCGTGTGTGTGTTTTAGAGATGGCCCTTGAAATCTAATGGAAGAGGGGTAATGTTAAATCAATAATGATTAACTTAGGTTAGTTTTGTTAGTTGGCTCCCACTTATACTACAATCATTTTCTTGTGTTTAGGTAAGTTAAGATATACTTAAACTATGTACATAAGTATATAAAAAACAAGTTAGTTACAATATCTAAGGTATTTTCGATTCTAAACTGGATGCTTAACCAATAATTTAGGATTTGACTGAACTAATTCTTAAAAAATAACCTTATTAAATATGTATATTTAACCGAAAGGATCTAGTGTCAAAACACTTATTCAAATGTTTTTAACCTCGTGACACGATAAAGTTCCAGCCGCCACTCATCCGCATTGCATGTACCTAAATAAATACTTGTGCATGTACGATATGTGTGGTTGACGTGTGGGGTTATTTGAATGGAGTAGGGTGCGTTTGTGGGTTTTCCAGGGGGCGGGCTTTGAGGGGGGAGGCTATGTGTGCCTATAATTATATGGTTTATATATGTACTGGTGCATAGCATAGGTCGGAATATATATGTATATACAAATGTGTGTTTATATGTGTGCGGTTTCGGTGGGTAAATAGGTGCACACGTCAATTGCTGGAACGACCTCGCTGAATTCCCACTTCCAGCCCCTTTCATTCCTCCCATTTGATCGATTTTTCCGCACTGGAAAGTTGGAAAACCGGGCCAATTAATTTCGATCATGCTACAATTATGATTGTTTTTTGTTGTGTACTATGTATTCTATTGCTTTGGAGCTAGAACATGCAATTATTTTAATGTATTCGGCCTTGGGACTCATGAATGTCAATTGGCACGTAAGTTCTCCATTAGCTATTAGCTTTTACCCGCGGCTCCACGCATCCGAATGCAAATGTCTATATATTGTATTTATGTACATATATTTTACGCTGCAAATCAGTCGTTTTGTATGCCAGCTTCGTTTTTTGTTTGGATTGTTTTTTAGGGGCTAGGCGACTCCCACCCACTCGCACATATTTATACAAATTAAGGCAGCGGAAAAAGTGCAACTCATTTGAATGGTTTCGCCTTCATTATGCAAATGCCGCCGATATTGGTGGCGAATATTTATTTGCTCATTATAAATACATAAACTTTTTGGCATTTTCGCAGTCATGACTTGCAAGCACACGAGCATTAAACGGGTTTCTAAATTTATTGTAATGATCGAGTTTTAGCGGACTAATGCATTTCAACTGCCAAAGGGTTCGCGCTCAAATATCGATAGGTTCGTGGATACTATCGATAGTTTTATTGCAGCCAGCTTTCGGTTGTGCAGCGGAGTAACTAGGTGGCACCTCTGAGACTATTTTAGGTGGCTATTTGGAAAATATTATATGTGATTTTTATTTAAATGTCATTTAGTAAGTTTAAGATTCGAAATTAAATTAAAAACATCGACGAGCTGTAATTTTAAAGAAGGTTATATAAAATACACATCAATATACATCTCGGCAAATATATGATGCTATTTTTTAATTCTATTTTTGCAATCCAAATATTGTGCCCAATAATAAATTGTACTATTTTTATGTTTTACTTCTAACACAATTACCCTTTTTCCTACAAATTAATTCCAGGAGGTACTTTTCTTATTTTTAAAGTTCTAGTTCTACACAAATTCCAAAGATTGACAGAAATCCTATAAGTTAAATTTTTATTGATTGTATTTTTTCAAATTTCAGGATTTTACGCGCACAAACCAAAGTCCACAGTAAAAAAAAATCAATTGGACAAACGTAACAAGTTCGAGCGAGACAACTGGCTAGTACAAGTGGCGGGGCAAAGAACAGCCGATAAGGTGATGCCACCTAGTTGAAACAATTGAAGAATTTAAGAGATTTACAATGTTTCTTTAACAAAATAAAATAAATAAATAAAAGATATGGGTTTCTAAGAAACCAAGGCAGTTATGTTAATTAAAACAAAAGTACTCTACAGACTTTAAACACCTTTTTCTACCTTTCAGCGACCTACGGCGATCTGGCAGCGCCACACGAAAATGGCGAACACGAGCACTCCGATGAACGACGAGCTGAAAAAATAATTATTATTTTAAATTCCGTTTTGCCAGCGAAATTCGGTGTGCGTGCGCGTAAAAAGAGTGCGGAAAAGCGCGGTGGGAAATTTTTAGCAGCGCATTATGAAGCGGTCAAAGTGCGGCGCCAATCGAAAATGGTTAGTCCAATAAAAATTAAGCAGCGACAGCGTGCCAGCCAAGAAAATCAAAAAGAATAAAATTAAAGTTTTTTGCTTTGCGAATTATGAAAAACCAATCGCAATGCTTGTGTGTGTGTTCGTGTGGTGCTGCCCGCGCGCGTGTGTGCGTGAGCGAGCGTAGAAGCAGAAGGCGCAGCGAAAAATAAAAATAAAAGCGAACAAATTAATAAAAAAAAAAGTGAACAAAACGCAAAGAGCGAAAAAAAAAACAAGAGAAGCAGCAGCAAAAACAACACAAAACTGGCGGTAAATACGCATGCAGTACGAAAAAACAACAACAAAACGCAACGTAACGGGAACTCTTTGACGTATTTCCTCTATTATTATTATGCAAAAAGGCAGGCGGCAAATTGCAGCAGCAGCGAAAATCAAATATAAATAGCGAAAAGGTAAAGGCGCAGCCCCACAAAACTAAACTAAAAATAAGAGGCGAACATATTTGTTGTTTGAGGGGGAAAAAAATAAAAATACTGCAAACCTTTCAATTGGTTTCAATTGGCAAATGCAATTGTTCAGCATTACATTTGCATTACAGCGCTCTCTTTCTCTCTCTCCGCTTGACTCTTCCACTCCCTTTCCCGCTCTCTCCTCGCCCGTTCGCTTTGCAAAGAGTTTTGCGACGAACAAGAACAATAATAATCAAAACAAAAATGTTTAAAATCCATTTTCTTTCGCCCTCTCCTTCACCCACTCTTTTATTTCGCAGCGCGCTGTCATTTGTCTTGCGCCCTTGCCTCCCCCTTCTTCGTTGCTTCCCCTCTTCTTCTCTCGCCCCCGCAAAGCATCTATCTCGCTCGCTCGCTTGCACACCATCCAAAAGCAAGAAGAGTCGCTACGAAAACGAAGTTACCTTGCATGGAATATACGACAGTGGGTCGAAATTGGTTTAAATTTGTAGACAAATTATGCACAGTGGGACAGTGATCTTTAACCGATCAAATTAGGCTACCTACTGCAATCCAAATTTTCACTATAAGAAACAGATTTTTTGATGTATCGAAGAGATTTACTATTACAATGAGTCAAAAAAATTATGTAATTAAAAAATTATACTTTTACTTTCAACCTATATAAAAGTTTTTTTATTAATTAATAACAAACACGTTTATATATCTTTACAAAGATGTCTTTACATAGATCTAATAATAAAGCTATTCTAAATTATAAGCTTATATTTTATTTTTGTTTTAAAATTTAAGTACGTACATATGTATATGTATGATTTACCTTGTTTATCTAAGACTACGTTCTCATTCGCCGATCTTTAAAATAAGTTATGGTTTATGACATAAAAATTAAAATATATTTTTGTTTTTAATTAAAGACTTAACTTGGGTCACATTTAAATGTAATGTAAAATTTCTTACGTAGGGTGCAATAAGATGAAGTGCAAAAAATAAACATGTTAGAGCAAAGAAAAGTGAAAAAGTCAAAGCACACAAAAAATACAAACACACATTATCCATTTGCCGAATAAACATACAAAAATGCAGATGAAATGGAAGAAGAAGGGAAGAGGCTCCAAAAGGCGGGCAAATCTGCAGCATGTGTGTGCGAGAGTGAGCGAGCAACAATAAGGCAAACAATAGCAGAAAAATAAAACGTGGATTGGTCTAGTAAAAAAGAAGAAGAATAGTAACAACGGGAACAAACAGGCCGCATAATGCGCGATTAATGATAAGCCTCTCTGGGGGAAACGAAGAGAGCGGGAGAGACCTGATATTTGAGTGGGTGGCAACACCTATTCTTTCTCCTCTTCACATCATGTTTTCTTTGCGCCGTTTTGTTTTGATTGCGAATCTTCTTAAATAATTATATGAAGACACAGTAGAGCTTTCCCAAGTTAAAACATTTAAGAACGATAAATAAATTTGAATCGGAGATATGTATATATTTTACTGGTAGTAAAATTAATAAAAGAAAGTTTTAAGAACTTATAAGAAAATACTTTAAAAATGTACAAAATTTTATTATTTACAAACTCACAAATCTCCTTGAACTTTAGAAAATAAAGCTACATTATTTATACAGGCAAATATAATATATTTCATCAATTTGAATTTTATTTTGTTTTTTGACAATTTTATAATTATAACTAAAACAAAAAAGTTTAACTCTTTAACTTTATTTTCCAGTTTAAAAAAGTTCCACTGTTGTTTTGACTTTTGTAATAAAAATCCATTTTTACTTGATTGTTCTGTTTGGAAAAAAGTTGTGGTTGCATTTCAACCTCCGCATTGGACGTTGCAAGCAAAAGTTTGTTTCTCCTCCTTCTCCTCTTCATCACCCCATTGCCTCCCATTCTATTTGCACGGCGAGTTGCCTCTTCGAGCATCCTTTCAGCATTCCTATTATACTTTTTTTATTCCTTTTTTTGACAATGCCCAACTAGAAAAAAAACTTGCAGGCACCAATACGTGCCATTGAAAACGAGAATGGAAGTTAGCTTTGGCAATACGAATTTTAGATACCCTTTTAGTTGATTAGTCTTTTTTTAATATTTGTTTGGCCATCTTTAAGTTTGTGATTTTGAGTAAATTTAATAAAACGTACAATACTTTTTAAAATAAATGCATTTGCTCCTACTGACTATTTATAGAATCATGTTTTTTTACGACTGCCACTATAGTAAGAGACTTAATTAATATTCCGATAGTTTTTAAGACTTCTATAGGAATCCAATTTCCAATATAAAAAACATGTTTGAAAAAGAAAATTAACACCTACATATGCATGTAGCAAATGACTTTGTTACAAACTTCTGAACATAATTATATACCCTTTGCAAGCGCATAAAAAAGAAGTTTCACTGAAAACTGGTTTCGGTTTTCTTCCTTCGGGCCTGGCCCAGCATTTTACATGAAAATGTGCAAAACAAAACTATTCCACCAGTGCTAAAAACCACGCGACATGACCAGCACTAAATAAAGTAAAAATAGTGCCTGTTCGTTTGGCAGTCGATGGCTAAGCTTTAGATAAAAACATCTAGGAATCAAGAGAACAAAGTATGTTTAGACAAATGGTCTTATCGCGCACATAAGAATTTAATTTCACTGGTAATTTTTGACTATTATCAGTAACTCTTTTTAAACAAATTCAGCAAATAAAGCTGCTTAAAGCGAAGTTTGGAAAATCTTGAACATTAAACAATAACCATTTGACCCCCTTATCGAAATTCAGCCCGTATTAAATAAAATATAATATTATATATTAATATTATTTATAATATAAATAATATATAATAATAATATAATATAATATATATAATAAAATATAATATAATAATATAATATAATATATATATATATAATATAATATATATAATATAATATATATAATATAATATAATAATATAATATAATATAATATAATATATATAATTATTTAAAAAAAAATTATAATGATTAATAATATTAACACATCCAATTTTTTCGGGTTTGTTTAAAATTGAAAATATTAAGATATTTGTTTAAAATTAAAATTAAAAAAAAATTTTTTTTTCATTTAGTGTTCCGGAGTAAAATTGCTATTATTTAAATAACAATTTTGAATATCTTTTCAAAAATTTGTGGGAGGACTAAATTGTATTGTATGCAACAATAATTTGGCAATAAAAAAAATATCTTGTTGACCGTTTTAATTTGAAATTACACAAAGGATTATATATATTTGTTTAGCAGGTGGTAGATAATACACCTTATCCTACAGGACATTAGCTATTCGACTAGGGTTCGACTACAATAAATTTTCCGACCTGTCTTCGGCATAGTTTCTCCACCCCTTTAACTTCTCCTTCAACTTTCCTCCTTATTCCCTGAAACTCGGTGTAAAGCTCTCAAACACAATGGACCGACTGACTGCGACTCCTTTTTATTGCATCTTCAACATGTGGTTGGTGGTGATTCAGTTGCATCGGGGACGGCGATTCACCAAGAACTGAAATCGGAGGATGCAGCCCAGCCGCACTCATTTTGTATTGATTGATTTCCCATCCCAGCTCTAAATAAACCGCATTTAACTCAAGCCTTTTTCGCTTTTCCAGCTGGATAAAGCATATACACAGCGTGTTGAATACGTTACAGTAGCGCGGCAAAAATAAACAAAAGCCAGGGAAAGGAATTCATCAAGGAAGCTAAAAAGAAAATCCATTAAAAATGGCTGCGGTACGAGGACATCAGTATTTCAGCCTGCGCTGGAATAACTATCAGAATACGATGACGTCAGTGTTCCAGCAGCTGCGCGAGGATCTATCCTTTGTGGATGTCACATTGTCCTGCGAACACGGATCCCTTAAGGCGCACAAGGTGAGTACTCCGCCAGTTTCTAAGACTCATATCAATCTAATAAACCCCTATGCTCTTTTTTTAGGTTGTCCTGTCCGCCTGCTCGACATACTTTCAAAAACTATTGCTCGAGAACCCTTGCAAACATCCCACGATCATCCTGCCCGCCGACATAATCTTCACTGACCTGAAAACCATCATTGATTTTGTTTATCGCGGTGAAATCGACGTTACCGAATCGGAATTACAGGTGAGTCGATGTCATATCTTCATTTAGCAATTAAGTTGTTACGGGATATTTTTAGTTTACACAAAAATGTTTCAATTGTAATCAAGTAAATAACAGATAAAAACAGAACATTTTCTTGGATTAAAAGATAAATGGTTCCTAACTGTTAAATATCATAAGTAAATAATTTCAATGGGCTAACAAATTAATTTTTATTTGTTTATAAACATTCATGGTAACAATTAAGTAGGACCTGAAAAATGAAAGCGAGTATTGTTATATATTAACAATATCGCACAGATAGTTTACAACGACGTGTAATTACTTCCTAATAATACCTTATGTTTATATTTGCTTATTCAATTTCCGATTAAATACAAATAGTTCCATAAAATATAAACATTGGTAAAAGGGGCTGTTAAAGTCGTATTTTTTAAACCAAGGGAATTTATACATTCTATACAATCGAAAAAAGTAACATTGTATTGTTTTTTCTTGGCTAAAATAAGTTTGTCGAAAACTTATTTTTGGATCTTTCTTCTTATCATGACTTTTATTTGGTAGGTGCAACGGAAATCAAATTAAATATCAGCTTAGATAAGTGTGAAATCAATAAAATGATGTAATCAATATGTTTATCGCTTTATTGACATATTCTGTTATAAGGTGTATCAATAATTCTTCGAACTTTTTAAATCAATACTCTTAATTAATATAGAAAAATGTAAATCACGGTTCAATTAATGAGTTCTTTGAAATTATTGATTGCCTATTAATTTCCTATAACGAATAGTTTACTTAATAAATTGTTGTTGTCAAAGGATCTAAACTAGAGAGTCAAATCATTGAATTCGACTGCCCAGTTATGAAATAGACTGCACCCACAATTACCACCTCCTAATCGAATTGTCAACAAACAAAACAACATCTAGCTAGCCAAACCACAAAAGTGGTTCTTTTTTAAATTGAACGCACAAATATAGAGGCGGAGCGGTACGAGTACAATTACTGTCAGGGTCGTTGTTATCTGGGCACAGCTCCCCCTGCAAGTCCCCTTTCCCCGATCTCACCCTTTTCTCCCGTATTTATCTGAATGCCACCCACAGAAACCGGCCTACTACACTGCGACAAACCTTTATTAAATTGCAATTTAAAATCTAGTATTTTACAACAGAGAAATCAACCAGGACAACAAATACTTCAACGTTAATTTAAACAGATATCTCGATGATTTTGTCGCTATATTTTTAGCGTAGGTTTAACAAAATAAAACAAGTGATAAGCAAAAGTGGAGTTTATTGGAGTTAAGTATAGTTTTGGCCAATTTTGATTAATTTTTAGGAAATTATCTACTATTCAGGACGTTTTTGGTCTATCGGTCGGCAATACTCTGATATTATCGCCAGTAGCACAGGTGTTTAAAACAACATTATAAATGGTACTCAAAAAATTGCTGACAGACAACAAAAATTCTTTAGTAACTCGACTAAGGGTGCTAGCCCAATGAGGGCAGTTTAATCGAGTTAATCAATCAATAGCTTACTCGATGGGAAACTTGAGTCATTGTGGAGAGTACTTAATATGGGCAAAAATAAATATATTTAGTATTTACTTGTTATTTTTAATCTTGTTCTTCTGTCAGTGATAAAATGTGATAAAATTGTACATAATGCATTCCTTACATATTTAACAAGCAAAAACATTTTTTATCAAAGCTAATAAACAACATTATAAAATTATTCGTGAAATGTTGTATTAGGACTCGCCAAAATTGTCTAGCCGGAAAAGCCTTGAGCAAAAGCATCATCAAAACGAAAAATTTGACAAAATCAGCCCTAATTCACATTATAGATCTAGGGAATGTTAGTAAGTACTATCGAACCAATTACCACTATTAAAGTATATTAAATAAATTATTGATTTTAAATAGGTATCCTTTTCTTTCGGTGCACCAACGTGCCTCGCTTTGTTGCTTTTTGCATTTGACGACAACGCCCCATTGTAATTGTCATTTGTGTGCTTCATTAATTCTTGTTGCTGACGATTGCTCTGGGGCATATAGACTCTATATTATAGAAAACGAACTATGTATATATAGCTCTAAACGTTTATCGGGGAAATGCCGTTGTTTTTTTACCACCGATATGGCATGCCCTTAGGTTTGATGTTGCGGCAACTGGTAATTAATATTGATTTGCATGCTCTGTGCACTGGGGCTTTGCCAATTTATCGATTTTTAGCCGTAATAAGCTGGCAGGTCAAAGGGCTTAACCTTAGGGCTGTGTGAAAATTATGTTGGGCAAATCAATTCTGAACCTAATTGAAACGGTGGTGAATGCATTTGAAGTCCTTACACGTTACCATTATTCATTAATAAGCCAATTAGTATTGATTGACCAACCGCCTAGGTAATGTTAATCAATTATTTAAAATTGGTTACCATTTGATTTGGAACCTTTGTTTTAAATAGATACTCGGTTTATAGTATTGGCTATTGTTTTTGTCAAAGACTCACAAAGGTTTTTCATAAACATTAGGCTTAGGAAATTATTTTATTGTCAATGAACACACGAAATAAAATCTTATGAGCTAAACAATTCGCGGTTTCATTAGAAATCTTTTCTGGGTATTTTCCAGATTGCGCTAAATTTTTTGGTACTGGATCTTATTTTGATTTATAATAATTAAGTTTTTTTCTTCTAATTTATTTATTATTTTTAAATGCACAAAAAATTTTTTAAGCAATACAACATAGTAAGACCGGAAATTATGTATGTAGATACAAAAAATAATTAATTTATGCATCGGTTATAAAAAGGTAATTCTGGTCTTATGTTAACAAAAATGGATTATACAAAAACAAGCAATATGGTAATATACACTGCGGAAATCCGCTTTGCTGTTAAGTGTTAACATTAACTTATTTAAACAGCAACCACTTAAGCCGGGACAGCAACCACATTACAGTGGTGGCCAACGTGTGACGTGTGTTCGCTTGAGCAAATAAGCGAGCGCTCAACTTGCTTCACACTCAAGTTGCTGTTGAGAAATAAAAAAATACTCAAGCTGAGGGGGCAGAGACTAACAAAAAAAAATCTCAAACGGCGGTCCACCCGCTCTTTCTCTCTCGCACTTACACACACATACAGCGCCCTCCTTCCGCCGTTGCTTCTTCTTCTTGCGGCGACTTCCCATTCATGCTCTCTTTTCCCCCTGCCCTTCTATCACTCTTGTTGTTTTTGTCACAGACGTGCGCTCCATTTTTATATTTTCGCTGCAAAAGTTTTGCCGGCCATCTGTCCACCCAGCCACCCACTCGACCTGCCCCCTTCTTTACCTCCACAAGTTGCTGATTTTTTGTGCGCCTCTATTTTCTTTTTACTTTATTTTTTTTGGGACTTTTACAACTACAACTATAGCTTGTATCTCTTTCGTTTGTCGCCGATGTTTCTGCACATGTTCTTGGAGTTTCCTCCTTCTCCTTCACTTTATGTATTTCTTTTTTTTCTCCCATTTTTTTTTTGCCTCTTCTTGTTGTTATTGTATTTGCCCTTGTACTTTTGTATGTTTCAACCGCAACTTCTGTTTGTGTGTGTTTATGGGTGTGTTGGAGCTTTCGTCTTGGTGCGTATTTTCTCTGTGTGTGTTTGGGGATATTTTTTTGTATTCTGTGTGTGTGTGGTGGCCCCTTTTTTTTGGCGCGTCCATTTCGCCTTGAAATTTGTTGTACGGACTTCAGATTGGCAATGCTAAGGGAAAATCGCAGTGAAAATGGGGGTCCGAAAGTTTTCGTACTTTTGGACGATGTGCAGTGGAGTGTTCCCCAACGAAAAAAATTGTTTTGCCAAACTTACTCATTGTTGTTGCAACTGCCCAAGAATATGAGTTCTTGTGCAAACTTTTTTAACAACATAAATGAATTACAAAGTCAGCTTAATTAGTTAAAATATTAATGGGGCTTTTTAACTACCAACCCAGCTTATATTAATACTTGAATTTAAAACAGTTGAAATGTCCTAATATGGTTTACTAAACTTTGATGTTTATTTATTGTTTAGCTAACTCGACCAAAGAAAGTTTTAGCTTTTTAAAAAAAGTTTATCTTAGATTTTAAGGATAGACTCCTGGAAAAAAACATCTTTTAAATTGGGACCTCAAAATTGAAACTTACATATCACCCTAGTTTATTGGAAATCTTAGCTAATTAATACATATATTTTTTTTGTTTATTTTCTTAGAAAATATTGTGCATAAAATGTTGTGCTAAAGTATGATTTTAAAATTATTAAATTCGAATAGCTCTTACTTTTTTTTTTAATTAGCTACACTCTAAAAGTAGTGAAATTCCTTTTTAATGTTTGTGGCTTTTGTAATTGCTCTGCAGGCACATTTAAAAACAATTAGTGGAAGTTCCTTTGATGCGAACAGGGTTCACCCGAAAAAAGCCACACCAAGAAACGGTGTCTTACGTTTTTATGAAGTCTGTCTCGCTCGCACCCACGCCGGCAGACCCCGGCGTTGCCACACTTCATTCTTGGTTTTGTTTTCTTTCCTTCTTTTTGGGGTTAAGCTCAGATTCGATTTTCGCTAAGCGTTAATTAATGCTGGCGCTGCTTTAATGCTTTTAGCAAACGTGGTCAGCCAACACATACACACACATGAACGTATGATTTAGTGTTGCCAGTTGCCTTAGCCCCCTTTACCCCCTTAGCCCCTCAAAGCCCCACACTTTTAAATGCATGTGTCTGCCACGCCATGTGCTTTGGTTATATTTATTGCTATGTGTTTTTTGTTTTGTTATTTTTCAGCATTTTTTTTGTGTTTTTTTGCATGCCAACACTTGAGGGTCTTCCCAATGCGTCGTAACCCCCCACCCACCAATTCGCTGCCTCCCCCTCTTTTGGCCTCATTGCATGTGTGTTACACAGAAAAAAACGGCGTGAAATAAAATAAAAATTAAATCTCCATCTTAATTCCAGCTACTGTTCAATTGAATGTTTTATGTCAGTGTAAGAAATATT